TTTTTAAACAATATGAAAAATTAAATATTTAAAAATATATTAAATTTTTTCATCTCAAGTTGTTCTTTTATTGTATTCTGTTTTTGAAAATTTTTATAACCAAATAAATATAGTATTGCATTTTAAATAATTAAAAAAAAAGACAATTTTTTCTAAAATTAAAAATATTATTTTGTTCAATGAATTATAAAAAAAAAAAGTTAAATATAAGGCGTTCATTGCTACTTGTCATAAACGCGGTGAGTGTAAATGGCATTTTATGTCAGCTCAAGTAGTAAATTGTGATGAAACTGACTTAAGTTTGCCATTGATGACACTGATGATTTAACACTGACAATCTGACCCATGAAAAACCTTCATCATGAATTATAATTAAAAAAATTGAAAAAAGTATGTTAATATTGTTGTGGAAAATATTCTTGACAAAGATGTCATTTAAATTCATGGCCATGAAAATATTTCAAATAATTCAATTATTTTAAATAATAGTTTCTTTAATTAAAAATATTTTTTTATTATAATAAAATTAATTATAATTAAAAATTGAATAATTAATACTACAATGAAAAGAAAGAGAATATTTTACTAAAAATTAGTGAGAAAAATTTTCTATACATAATTTGAACTAGTGAAGGAATTCTCACTAATTTTTAAATTTAGCAAATATTGGCACACGGAATAAATATTTTAAATAAAAAAATTAATGAAAAATAATTATTACGATTTTAAGATAAGAAAAAACATGAATTAAAGACAAAAGAGAATCTTTGGGAATATAAAATGCATTAGAATTAATTTGAAACGTTCACTTCACAGCATAGAAAAGGTATCAGGAAGAAAAGTGCAATCACTATTTGTATTATATAGATTCTACAAGAAACGCTTCCGCACATTTAGTCGACGTAATCTTGAAGCGTTTTCGCACGCGGATGATCCACGACATTTATATATAGTGGACAGTCCAGGAGTGAAGCTCTTACTGAAAATGTTACTAAATATATATATATATTGGTTCTCCAAGAAACGAGAGGGAAAACGCTTTCTTCAATAACGTGCGGAATCCAATTACCCGTTCATGAACTTTTGATCCACTTTATACGCAGAAAAAGTCAATATTGATCTTCACTTTGCCATTCTTTGCATCCTCCTAAATGGATCATAAATAATTATATATACTATTATCAAATAAATATTTACTTGAACCAAATTATTTTTATTTGAATTAAATAAACTGTAATTGAAGTAATAATTTCTGTATTTGAAACGAATATACTCAGAGAAATGATATATTTGTCTCACAACCTAATAAATATTTATTTTGATTTAGATAAAAAAATTTATTTACACCAAAAAAATAGGCTAGTAGGCTCTGAGACAAATATACGTTTATTTAACTCAAATATATTATATATTTGGTTCAAATAAAACATTTTTCCGGGTGTATAATAATTTAATTGACTCAATTAATAATTATTTGATAATAGTTAAGGTAATCGATTATTTGAATCAAATATTTTTTTTCAAATAGATATTTTATTTGGATTAGATAAAAATTTTATTTGCATTGAATAAAATTTTTTTTCTTCTAAATAAATTTTTATTTAATGCAAATAAATTTTATTTAATTCAAATAAACGCAAATAAAAGATTTATATCTGGCGGGTAGAAAATATTTGATTATTATATATTACATTTTTAATTACAAATATATTAAATATTTTAATTTTAGATTTAAACTTTAAAATGAGGTATACAAAATTTTGTTAATTACCTATATTATTTTTATTTTTAATGATAATTAGTAAGAATTAGTACTTCACTGAAAAAAAAATTTATTTGATTCAAATACTCGATAACTTGACTATTATCAAATAAATATATTTACTTGAACAAAATAATTTTTATTTGAGCCAATTAAATATTATTTGTTTCATTTACAGAAATTATTGGTCCAAATACAATTTATTTAATTCATATAAAAGTTATTTGATTCAAGTAAATATTTATTTGATAATAATCAAGTAACCGATTATTTGCATCAAATAAATTTTTTTTTCAGTGTTTGTACGAAAGAGCAATTTATAGCCCGTTTACCTAAATAAATAAATAATTAAAAAAAAAAATTGAAGAAGAAAAACATTTTTTTTGTATTACAATGTCGAAAATCAATTTTTAGTCTTCTTTTTTTACTAATTAACTTCCTTACCCTGTTTATAAAAAAAATAATTTTTAAATTACACGTTAGGATGTTCATTTTCTTTTAAAGTAACATGTAAATAATTGAAGTTTTTGAGAAGAATATATCTCTTGTGAATTATATGGCTATATATATAGTATCCAATTACGCAACTGATTCTTCATTAACCGAGTTACTCGTCTGTAGGCGATGACTTTATTACACAGATATATACAACTAGGTGAATATATATCTTATGCAAGGATTTCATTTACATTTTTTTGCAATTTTCATTTTGCTTTAAATCTTTTTTCATCCCATTATAATCGAACAGGAAGAATAATTTTACGCCTGCCAGAGGCTAGATAGATATATATATATATATATAAATTTTCATTAAAATTAAAATTAAAATTCTGTGAAATCAAATAAAAATAAAACAAAAAAGTTAACATAAAACATATTATATAAAATAAATATTTTTTTTTTTTTAAATCTATTTAATTGCAACAAAAATTATTTGATAAATAGAAAAAGAATAATAATTCTACAATTATTTTGTAAAAAAATAATAATAAAATAACTATATTTGTTTCATTTAAATAAAAAATAAAATATCTAAGATGAAGCAAGTGGGTAATTTTTTTATTTACTAAATTTTAATTTTTAAAGACCGCACAATTATAAATAATCATTTTAATTCTAAAATAATAAATTGTACACATATTAAGTTATTTGTAGAAACTTAAAATTATATTTTCTTTTCGAAAAATTATTCAAAAAAATTTCTAAACTACTTTCATAAAATTTTTCGTGAATTTTTTTTTGACTATACCTATTACAAAAAATACAATTTTAAATAAAATGTAAAATTTTAAATACAATGAAATTTAGAAAAAAAAAATTTTTAATTCCACTTATGGATAAAAAAATAATATTGAATTGCACTAAAAGACAATTGCTTTGCGTAATTTAATATGAAAATTAAATTGAGATTACATCAATAAAAGCAGTTTTTGATATTACTCAGCGAGATACAATTATTTTATATGGGGTTTCTTAATTATGGTTTATTCACTTTGAGTGATTTATCTGCAAGGTAAATTTGTTACCTCACGTATCACATCTAGTAATACATAGAACTAAGTGTTGATGATTGCCGCACGAGTTCGTTCTTTCTCGCATTTAAAAGAATATGTGCGAAATACAAATATATATTATATGATTTCATCACTATAATAGCATCAAAAATATTTTTTTTTTAAATTATCTAACATTTTTAAATGTCATTTAAATTTTAATTATTTATTATTTTCCAAAAAACATTAAAAATTTTTTTCTTTTAAATTAATAAGTTTAAAAAAAATTTCTTTTATAAAATCAATTAAATATAATTATGAATTTTTTTTGAGAAAATAAAAATTGAAATTAATAATAATAGTTAATATAAATATATTTAAAAGTAAACTCTTCACTAAGGATATAGTAAATAAAGAATCCTGAAAGTTGGATGTTACTTAATCAATGTATAAAAAATGGCAAATTATAAAAGAATGTCCAATAGTTTAGAAAGTAAGGAGCTCTGTCTATATCAATATTATTATATGAGTAATATATTTATGAAAAACTAATATGTTTATTTTTATATTAAAACATCTTTCTTGGAAAATAACTTTTGCTATAATGGTACTAAATAAAGATGTACATAATTATTTTCTTCTATATACATATATAATTGTTGAGTTGATGGCGAATAGTTAAATTAATATTATATTCTCACTGTTAGAAAACATATTAAAATTTGAAGTAAATTCTTAGTTTGAGAATATTGTTCTTTTATTCTTAAAAAAAAATTAGATTAAATTTCCATAAAAGAATAAAATATTAATGCATGTATTAAATTTGGACACTTATTTTAAGACACGTTCTAAGCCACAAAAATGTATTAAACTAAGACATTCTAATAACTAAGATATTAAAATTAATGAAAATAAGACACATTTCTTAAATACTAAAAATGTTTTAAATTAAGACATTTTTTTGTATTTTACATATTAAGCATATCTTTAAAAAACAATATTAGTGTCTTACTCAACAAAATTGATGTAAATTTAAAATATTTTTGTGTCTGAGACACTAAACACGTCTCGAAAGCACATTTTTATTATTTTGTCCTAGGAAAGTGTCTTAGTTCTAAGACATTTTTTGCCTAAGACACTAAAATTTTTAACATAAAACACATTTATTTTAGGCAGAAAATATTTTCGATTAAGACACTTTTCTTGTCTAAGACTCTAAAAGTATGCGCTTTTGTTATGTGTTTTGTGATTTAAGACCAAAATTATTTAAATTTACAATTTTTTTTTTTGAGTAAGACACTATTAAAATTCTCAATATCAAGCAAATTCAACTTAGACAAAAAAATATATTAAATAAAAATTTTTTTGTACAATGTACGTTATTAAACATATAAAAAAACACATTTTTAATGTCTTAATTTAAGACAATTTCTGGTATCTAAGACACTAAAAATCTTTTAAAACATAAATCTTCATTTCATGGTAAATTTCTTTGTTTTTTATTTATATTTTTTTGTTCTATTATCTTTTTTTTTCTTCTTTTTTTTCGTCAAAAGTTTCTCGTCAAGAATCGGATATTGTCTTGCATCCGAGTTGTCCTACAGGTATCAGATTGTGAGAGGAAAAAAAGTTTGAATGGTATAGAAAAAAGAGGAGGAGGAGGGCATAGAAAGAGAAAGAGTATCGTCTCACTGTCGAATTACTCTCACTCGAAAGGCCCCCGTCTCTTCTTCACCGGGGTCCCCACGCATCCCCCTGCTACTTTGGGGGGTATAAAAAACCCTGGTGCACCTTCCTCGGAGTCACAGACAAGAGCGGCATCGTTGAAGCCGACATGACTCCTTTCATCGCGGTAAGCAACCAAAAAAAAAAAAAAAAAAAAAAAAAAATTCCCTCCAATCTACAAAACGGAAAATATCTATAAAGAGAGAGTGTGCCCGCGATTGACTGAAAAAATAAATATTTTTTTTTTTTAAATAAAAAAAGGGGGAAAATTCAGGAATAACTTGTGAGCGGATCAAGATCGAAAAATCATTTAACAAAAGTGTATTTTACTACTACTTAATAGAAATAAAAATTTAAAAAAAGTGAAACTTAACGAAATTCTCCAAGTGAAAGATACGCGATTCATACACGTTGAAAGTGCATTAATCAACATAATTTTTTTTTTTCCTTCTTCTGTGGTTCTATCGATCGTTGACGCTTGCTTTTTTTGATCAGTGATCTACGTGAATAGTTCAAAATGTTTCAACTTTTTGTTGTTTCTTTTTTTGTAATTTTAAATTTTTTTAAAAAATTTATGCCTTTTTTAATATTTTTTATTTTATTTTATTTTTTATTTTACAGAGATTAAGAAATTAAAAATTTTTTGTAATTTTTTTTTTTTAGTTTTCTTCTTTTACTTTCTAAATATTTTTAGAGATTATCAATATTTCTTATTTTTCGAATCACTAATATGTTTTTTTTTCGAAAATCTCTATTTTTGAATTTGAAAATTCTTGTTTTAGAAATAGATTTTTTTTTTCGCAATTGAAGAATTTAAAAATATTTTAAATTTCATTAACATTAGAAAGAAATCACATTTTAAAATAATGACGTCTAAGTGAAAAATAATTGTTTTGTAAATACTTATTTGCGGTCGAAGTAAATATTTATTTGATAAATATAGTCTTAATATTTCCCTAAAAATTGTAAAATGTTTAAATTTAATTTAAATTTACGTTATATAAAATTTTTGATATTTAGTTTTTAGTTACTTAAAAAATTCGTTTTTAAATACCCTGATATTTCCTGGATTATCAAAATTGGTTTACTTTTCCCTGATCAGCGGACACTCTTCTTTTTTAATTGTAATTTTTATTTTTTTGGGAACTAAAAGATACAATTTTTTCGTTATATTCCTTCATCTTTCTCTATTATTTGATTCTTTCGTTTTTTCTTTATTTCTTCACTTATTTTTTGGGTTTCATTAAATTTTCTTCTGAATTTTTCTTTTTCTATTTATTTATTTCTTCTTTCTCTAGTATTTCTCCCTCCCTCTCTTTCTACTATTTCTTTCTTATTTTCCCATTATTTCTTTCATCCTCCTCTAGTATGTCTTTCTTCTCTATTATTTCTTTCTTCTTTTTCCTTTATTTCGTTATTATTTAATTATTTTCTTCTTCTTCTTTATTTATTAATTTTTCTTTCCTTCATTTTTTGATTTAATGTCTTTAATTTTTCTCCCTTTCTTCATTGCTTACATTTGTAAGAAGAAGAAGAATTCGACGTTCAACTGTTACCATGCTATGGTAACTTTTTCCCATAGCAAACGTTACCATGGCAAGTGTTGCTATAGAAACGATTTGCTCGTAATATTTTCTTTTTTCTATCTTTCTTAGAGTTTTACTCATATAGCATTGCGTTAGGATTAAATAATAAATTTTTAAAAATAATTTTTTCTGTTTCAGTGTATGATGGTCGGTCTGGCTGGGCTCGCCCTGGCTGAGCCACCCGTATCCTCTGGATACAATTACAACAGACCCATTGGAGGTGGTGGAGGCGGCGGCGGCGGTGGATACTCCCATGGAGGTGGAGGCGGTGGTGGCTACTCCTTGGGAGGTGGCGGAGGAGGTGGTGGAGGTTACACTCAAGTATCATCTGGTGGTCAAACCAGTGAGGGAGCTTCCGTAGATGGAGCCCTCCTCGAGCAAATTCGTCAGATTCTCCTTAAGGAAGAGAGCCAATCAGGTGGTGGTGGATTTGGAGGCGGTGGATTTGGAGGTGGTGGTGGTGGTGGATATCCAGCTCCAAGCAGCAGTTATGGAGCTCCAAGTTCCAGTTATGGTGCTCCAAGCTCCAGCTATGGTGTCCCATCAATTAGCAGTCGTGTCGTTGGAATTGATCTCGAGGGAATCAGACAAGCCATTCAGGTTGCTCAATTCAATCAAATTAGCCAAGGAGGAGGTGGTGGTGGTGGCTATCCCAGTGGACCAAGTGGCGGTTATCCCAGTGGTCCAAGTGGTGGTTATCCATCGTCCCGACCCAGTGGCAGCTACGGTGCTCCATTCTAATAACTAGGACACCTAAGATTTAAAAAAAACAACAACCATCGCGTCGATTCAATTTTTTTTTCTATCCAGAATCCTATTTTTCAATTATATGATCCTGGATAGAATAAAATCCCCGCTAAAAAAAAAAGAACAAAAATCTCCACGACATCTTGATATTGAGGCTATTTTTTCATCTCGAGATGGAGGACACAAATTAAAATTTTGGAATATTAAGTCAGTGGCTTTTGATAGCTGACTGGTTGAAGAAAAAACAGTCGTAGCTTCAACGGGTCAGGACCTTAGCCAGCGACCAGAGAGAAATCATAATAATTATCCTAATTGGAGAAATGTCGACGCGATACCAAGATCCAAGAACTAAAATTTCTTGTCCCATCACGTGGAGAAAGGGGATAAATGAACAAAAAAAGAAACAAACATGCAGGGAGATGAAAGCCTGCAGGATCTCAAGGAGATCGACAGATCGATCAACAATAATAATTCATCATCGTTAAAACTTAAGCGGAGAAGGAAGAGGCGTAAGAGAAGTAGAGGCCGTGATTAACGCGAAAGCGTCTTGTAAATACTTATACACTTACACAATTAAAACACATCGAATGATAAGCTCGCAATTTGTATCATATACATATATAATTTCTCAAAAAGAAAGATTATAAAATTTCATGCAAATTTTTTTTTCTTTCTGAAAAATTTGATGATTTGGAATCTTTGTTTTTTTTCAAAATTTTTAGATCTTTGAAATGTATATAGAATATAGCAAAAAAAAAAAAATTTTTAAAGACTTCTTTTTCTTGTTCTTCTTTTTTTGTTATTGTATTATTTGTACTTTGTTTTAATTGAAATAACTTTAAGGATCACTTGATGCAAAAAACGAGCTATAAAAGACCAAACACATGTATACAAGTTACAAAAAAAAAAAGATTTAAGAACTCTTCTATTTTTTTACTCTGTAATACTATATATATATATATATTATTTTTCATAACCACGCATTTTTGTACTGTATAAAGGCTTTTTTGTAGAAAAAAAATAAAAAATACGTCGCCACCGTTAAATGAATGTTTAGTTTCTCACTGTGCATTTCCTTGTTTGAAAAACAACTTCCTGGATGATTTCCCACTAATGTGTCTTCACTTTTACTTATTTTCTTTCTCTTTCTTATCAACTATATATATATATATATAATATAAATCGAGATGATTCTACAATTATCACCTCGAGTAAACGAACAATAATAATAATGAAAATAAATAAAATAATAATAAAAATATTATAAAATATTCGAAAAATATATGAGAAATTTAAATAATTTAAATTCATTTTCTATATAGTTCTTCGAAAAATTTTTATATATTCCACTTTTTATTTTTTTTTTTTTTTTTATTGATTTCCTCAATATTCTTTGGTAGCTTATCATATGAAAATGAATTTTTTTTTTTTAAAGGTCATTGCCTTTCTCCTTTCACCAATGCTATCTCAACCCGAAGGCATTATGAACTTCTTTGGCGCGCAGGAAATATGTTGTAAATTTGTATATGTATGTATATAGTATGCGTTTTTGATCTGAAAAAGAGATGCAACGCGAAATTTTCGCCGAGATGGTCAAGAGATATTCGAAAGTCACTTGAACTTTTGAAAGACAAAGTGGAATGATCGCAGAAGAAGAATTATGTCAATGATGTAGAGTTTATAATGGAAATAAAAAAAAAGAAAAAAAAAAAAAAGATCCTGCCGGTTTCAGGTTTCGATTTCTGGTGTATAGTAGAGAGAATCGTGAGAAAGGCAAATTATTGGGGTCACAGGATCAGGAAGTACCTTCTCAAATGGTTAGAAGTCAACAGCGAGAAGATGATAATTTATATAATTACAGAGATAATTTTTAAATTACAAAAAAAAATTTTTTTTTCATGACGTTTCCATTATTTTATGTTATTATATTTTAATGCATATGTGTCATTTTAATTAAAATGACAATTCTTTATTATACAAATGTACTTCATCTCCAGCTTTCATTTTTCAAAAGTTTTCGATATATCTTCATTTAATTTTTTTCTTTTCTTCTTTTTTAAAGAGTTTTCTTGTTTTTTAACTCTATTTTTCTTCATTCTTCTTTTTTCTATGTTAATTTGTTTTATTTTTTCTTTCAAAATTTAATTTATTTTCTTCTGTATTTAATGGGGGTTTTTTTTTTATTTGTTTCTATTTTTTATTTCTTCATCATTCCCCAATTAACAAAAAAATGGCTTCTTTTGTTCCATTCTCTTTATCTTTATTGTTCTTATTATTTTCATTATGTATTGTATTGTATTATATTGTATTTATTTTCTCTTGTATACTATGTACATAGTTTTTACATCTTGAAATCCCTTACATTAATATATAAATTAAATTTTAAATTTAATAAAAAATTTCTTTACAGAAAGAAGCTTAATAAAATTCTTATTTTCCTTATGTTATTTCGTTCTTCGTTTAATTATTTATATCCGATATTAAAAATTTTTTTATTCAAAGATTTTTCTTCATTTCTTCCCTCTTCAAAATTAAAAAAATTAAATTAAATAATAATTAAATTCATATTTTAAAGTTTGGATTTTTTTTTTGTTATTTAAGAAGAAAAAGAAATAGGAACGGTGTAAAAAAAAGATAACATCAGTATAGAGAAGTAAACCAGAATATTTTCTCAAACACGATATCTAACATCTTCTCATTTGAAGTTTTACGCATGTTCTTGAAGTACGTAATAACTACATATATATATATATATATATATATATTAGGGAAAGTGTTGCGACGCGTCTGCCGGGCAAGCGTGAGACTCGCAACTCAATTTTGCAAGACATACATATAATCCATAATTCGTCTATAATGCTCTATAAAGTGTTTAAATAAATATGCGAGACTGAAATCGTGCGAAAGAAACAAAAAAAAAATTTCTCTGATGGAAATTAAGAGCAATAATTCTCATTCAACCTATTTTTATTCTTTGAGTGAGTTAATAAAGAGATATATATCGCACAAAAAACAATTATATATATATACATTTATTGGAAAAGTCCTTTTATTGAAAAGTCGACCTGCAATCGATTTTGAGATCGCATCAAAGTCAACAACACTTATTCAATAGCTTATATTGCTCGTGTAAAATGTGATGTAACTAGATTTTTCACTTCCTTCTCTCCTTATTTATAAGTCATCAAAGATTTATTGATTCTAGCTGTTGTAATATTGCAATTAATAGTTTCAAGAAATGAAACATGATTCATTGATTCTATCGATTCAAATTAAATTTTAATTACCCGTGTATGTGTTTGTAAATATATATATATATATATGAAAATTATTAAAATATTTTCTACAAATGATAAACAAAAATGTACATAATTTATTTTTAAATAAAAAAAATATTATTTAATAATATATGAAGATTAGAAAGTTAAAAATTCCCTACTTACACAATAATTTCATATATATTAAATATTTATTATTATTATTTAAATAATAATTGAAAATAAGGGGAAAAAATTAATTTTTAAAAAAATATTTAAAATATCTTTTAAAATAGATAATATTTAAAGGACATTCGATATCGTGCGCGAGAATTTATTATAATTTTCATGATAAATTTCAGGTTAAAATTTTCTTCTTGGAAAATATAAGAATCTATTGTTTTTTCTTACGAGAAAGAGAGAGAAAAAGAAGAATATACTAGAAAAGATTTAGTGTTCATAAATCGATAAAAATTTACACAACAAAGATTCTATGTTACAGCAATAATTCACAGCAATAAGAATAACTGATCTTAAGATGAACAAAATATAATGACCTCTTCTTTGTGGCATATTTCTTTGATTCAATAAAAGATTCTGGTCAATAATCATGGTTTATTATGTATTTCGTAATAGTTACTGTCTGTTAAAGGTAAAAGTATACGCAATTTAAAGACTCCAATCTTGGTAACCGCAAGAAGCACTTGATTTAAAGTTGCGGGTGATTAACCACATTATTTTTGCCTTTAAATAAAAATAATATAAGAAACAATGTTTGAGGCCACTGTTTTTCTAATTCAATTTTCATATTTATTTATAAAGTTCATAAAATAATTAAATTTTAATTATTATTCATCTTGATTATTCTGTAAATTTCAATTCATGAAAAATAAATAATCAATTTAAAAAAAAAAAAAAACAAAAATAAAGTTGATAAATTTAGAAAAGAGAATTGTTATAATAGATAAAAAATATAATAGAGTTTGTAAAAAATATTATTTATATTTCAATACAAACATTTGGTTTATTTATCTTAAATTACGTAAATTCATACAATAAATATGTATATAAAGATTTGATACCTTACATTAGATAAAAAAGAAGTTGTACTTTTATTCTTACGAGTTCTGTATTTTACATCAGCCGAATTTATTTCACTTGTATCATCACCCAAGTATCATTTTTACAACTATTGTTAATATATTGAGAAATATTAATGGAACTGTAACAGACAACATTTTTTTTTATTTAAATAATAACAAAATAGTAATTTTTGTTAAAACTAATTATAATTGGTAACAGAAATTTAAAACTATGTAAAACATTTTATTTATCAATTTAAATGAATATAAATAATAAATTAATTTATTTATTACCTATGAAATGTTAAATAAATTATGAAAATATTATAAAACAATAATATTACTTACACCTTGCAACTGTTCTAATAGATCGTACTAAATTCAACATTTGTGATTTTATAGAAGGGGCTTCACCAAATCCTTGAATATTTTGTCTAGCTCCCCAGCCGACTGCAAAGAAGTTAATTAATTTTACTAATTGTACCTGTACGATTTAAAATATTTATATTTACTTTCTGAAATAATTATGTTCACAAAAATATGTATCAAAACTTCATAAAACAAAATTCAGTTCCAGACTTTAATTTTTTTCTAACCTATAAATAATACAAATTCTATAACGTATGTTTAATTTACGTTATTTTTGCACACAAAAATATCCAATTTAAATTAAAATGTATATACATTTTAGAAAATCGAAAAATATTGACCAGATTATAAAAATATTCAAAAGAATAATTAATTTAACCACCTAACCTCAATTTTCAAGAATTTAAAAAAAAAACTCACTTTTTACAAGAAACCTTTCTTCGTGTAATACACAAATAGCATTTAGGCATAAAAGGGAAGCTTCAAAAAGAGTCCAAAGAGTAAATGCCATTTTTTTTTTTATTTAATAAACAATAATATTTATATTTCCCCTTTAAAAAAGTTAGTCTTCTAAATAGTGACGTCCACAAGTTTCATTGATAATACCGACCGACCAATCAGACACACGGCGTAACACCTGTTTACAACAATACGATAATACCGACCCAAGGTATATGTTCAGTGGTGCCATCTGTGCAAAATTTGATTAAAAATCTTTTACTTTACACAAACACATGCATATAATACTAATGATTCCTGTTGTGTTTTACAATAAATAAATAATGTCGAATTTTGGAAAATCTCAATTAATGAAATATGGTTGGACCGAAGGTATATTCCTTTTCTAATTTATTTATATATATTTTATATAATATTTTTAATAATTAATTAATTGATTGTAATATTCACGTGCATACAATTTCCTAACCTCTTTTTTTATTGTTCTCATTAACTACAATATAAATAAAGATTTATTACATACTAAGAAGAGATTTATTTATTTTAATATTTACATTGTCGAATATTTCTCTACAGGTATAAAAATAAAAAAAAAATCGAAAATTTTAAACGAATTATTCTTTATTCCAATTTTTTATCATGATTTTTGAAAGACAATTTACCTTATTTTCTATTAGTAAAGTATTTAGAAATAATAAACAATTAAGAGAGAAATGAATATTTTAAAAGCTACGCTCAATAAAATACAATACATTACAAATTGTACAAAAATGTATACAATCCAACTCAATTGTATTTTCATATTTTTAAATAGAATATAAATTTATAATTACAAAGTGTTTCAATGGAAGTAAAAACAATTTTATTGTTGACACTTTGAAACATTGAAAGTTAATATTAGATAAATATTAAAAATTTATGAAATTAAGCAATTATTCCGGTAGCATAACCTATCAATTTTTTCTTATCTTTATCCAATGACAATTTTTAATATTTCAAATTATATATTTATTTTTTTTTATATATAGATATGTCTATATTTTTCAAATATTTAATAAAACAAAAATAGTAATAAATATATATTTTTTACAGGCAAAGGCTTAGGAAAAGAAGAAAACGGAATCGCACAACCAATCAAGCCAAAATTAAAATTTGACTTGAAAGGAGTTGGACACAAAAGCATTGATGATAATTGGTGGCAATCCGTTTACAACAAAGCTTCTCAAAATGTCTCGGTTGACAAAGATTTTTCTGGTGTTTCTGTAAATATAATTGATAAAAGTGCAAAAATATTTTCCAAAAATGAAGATTTAGTTGAAATACAAAAAAAACACAATTCTGGCTATAAGGAATTTATAAAAACATCAACATTAAAAGATGGTCTAAATGTTCAAGAAATTAATGAAAAAAGTGCAACTGATACTAAATTACAAATTGGATTTGACAGTTTAATGATCAGCGACGAAGAATTATTCAAAGCTTGTGGCGGAAGAACAGCTCATAAAGGCGCTAGGCATGGTTTAAATTTAAGTGGTAAACTTGCCAGAATTGCGAAACAAGAAGAAGAATTATCACTGACATCCATTGTCGCATCAGATAATAATAATAAAAAAAAAACTAGAACCAAGAAAAAAATTATCGATAAAGAAAAATTTGTAAAAGATGAAAGCATCGCAAAAACGTCGTCAGTTGTATTAACAAAAAAGGAGGAAAAGAAAGAGAAGAAGAGAAAAAGAAAAGAAATTGTTGAAAGTGAGGAAGATGTCGATGATGATAAACAAGAAATTGCACATTTAATGAATAATTCCAAAAGTTCTAAATGTCAATTAACGAAAAGTCAAAGAAAAACGTGTAGAAGGAAAATAAATAGTTTAGTTGAATTGTTGGATAAAAATTTTTCCCTTGAAGAGAGTGAAAAGAATGAAATTTGTAATAAAAAAGAGGGAACGAGGAAGAAAAAAAAGATTGAGGATAATGATAATGATTTAGTTTTACAAACTTCTTTTCCACTATTTCGTGAAGATGAAGATTTTTTAACAACATTTAAGGATCTCACATTTAAACGTTATGAAGAACAAAATCCTACGAAATTCTATCGAAATATTCACAACAAAAAAAGAGATGAAAAAGTAAAAAAAATGGATGAATTGAGTGATGTTCTTAATGACATGTGTACCCTTGATGAAGCAAAAAAAGAGAAAAGTAAGAAAAAAAGAGCAAAAAAATATTCCGTAATAGATTTTGATGAACATATATCAAAAATTGATGCAAACAAATTGAATAGTAAAATACAGAAAAAGAAGTTAAAAAGAAAAATAAAAACAAAAATTTGTGAAGCAAGAGATAAAACGATACGCAAGATTAAAAACTACAATTTATAAATGTACATTGTATAAATATTACTATAAATACATTTTATATTCATAGATTTTAATTTTTATAAATTACATTTTAAATAGATTAAAATGTACAAGGTAATTAAATACAAGCTATCAATAGCATTAAATAAATAAAAGTTAAATTTATTATTATACATTTTATCATTTAATTTGACAATTTTTTCTTTATTGAAAACTAAATGTTTATTTGATAAATTGAATTATCATTTAACAATTCGACGGTAAATTAAACACGATAAATTTTTTTTTATTTTAATTTATTTATCACTGACAAAAGAAGTAAAAATCAAATAAAGAAATTTCGTTTTCTTTTTCGACCACTGTGCGGTCAAGGGGTTAATATTAAATTTTTATAAATAATATACTATTTACTTTTTTTTTTTTTAATATCTAGAATATTTTCTTCAATATCATATTTTTTATTATCAGTATTGATAATTTTGCTTTTCGATTTTTTTATTTTCTTTTTTTTTTAAATAAATATATAAAGAAAGTTTTTGTTAATAATGAACAAAAAAAGTCTTTTATTTACATACGCTGTAAAACATAAATGTCTTAGAACGTTTACAATATTAATATGTGTCATTTTTGAGCGAGTTGTAATAGTGAAAATTAAATTTATTCATTTATGGGATCAATTTCATTTCGTATTGACGTCCAAATATAACCAGAACCTGCACCAGTGTATGGAATGGGATATGGACTATTTTTAAGTCGAAAATAATCAGAAGGTGCATGCATCACAAATTCCATGTATTCCAATTTTCTTGGCAAATCTTCCTCTGGACCAATAATGTACGTTTCAGGAATAAATCCATCTTCTGGCGGTGGACTATTATTAAATGTATTATTTTATTAGTAATACTCGTAAATATTTATTATTAATTAGTATATTGAATTTATCATTTGGTAGTACATTTTTCAAAATTTATTGAGTTAGAATTGAAAAAAAAAAAAAAAAAATTTGTAAATTCAATTCTTGAGAAATATTCTAATTCAAAAATTCTTTTAAATATTTTACTTAACACTATTCTATGAATTAATTTTAGAAAAATTTTTTCTAAACCATATTTAAAACTAAAAGATATTTTATTTTTAATAGTAATCAGAGAAAATCGAAAAACCTTGATGTTGTTGGCAAAAGCCATGTGACTGCTGCACTTTTTTCGCAATATTGATCCGTTAATAATCCACGAATTTGCGCATAATAAATTCCTCCATCCTCATCCTGCATTGAAACAACATCACCGACTTGAAAATAAGAACCTTTATAAAATACAAATTCACTAGTGACGGTCGTTGATGTTGCAGTTGGAGCTTTCATGGGCTAAAAGCAATGTTTTTTTTCTTTTAATTGAAACAAAAATTCTAATTTATTCATTTACTAACAAGTAGTTTACATAAATAACTATTTTTACTCTTAATTCTATTTATTTATTCGAAAATCTGATTCACAGAACGTTCTATAGTCAACAAAGAAATTTTTTTATATAAAGAATAAGGAAACAAAAAAGAAGTAATTTATTAAATATAATACCGTTTTCTTAAAAATATGTCGTCTTCCTTTGCCCTTGGGTACAGTACTTTTCGATGGAGGTGCTGCTGGATTTGTTTTACAATATCGAGTAACCCTAGTACTTTTTCTCGCGGGCTTAGAATTTCCATTTTTTTCTTCATCTTCTTTTGTGATATCAACATTAGCTTTTTTTTGTTCCTCTAGACAATTATTACAAAAATTTCCCGTTTCAGTGGCATGCCAAAGTATTGTTTCCTTAGTTGCACACTTTGTACACTCTGGTTTCGTTCCCAACGGCATTGAAGTTATTGTTTATATACGCGAAATAATTGAAAGATAATTTCAATAATCAAAGAATTTAATTAACATCGACTAGTATATATTTATTTGTTTTCTAAACGAAATATATTTTCATTTTCTACACAACTATCGCAATAAGTTGAAATAAATATATAAACAATTATTTAACAATACCGAACTATAAAAGAACTAAATAATTTTTTTTTAAATTGCAAAATTTTGAGGTTATTTCATAACACAGGTAAACACACGCATGCGCATTAAAAATGCATTTAGTTCCTGGTTTATTCACAATTTAAAAATCTGTCGCCACGGATATTAAAATTTAAGGTAGATTTACAAAACGATTTACACTCATTGGCTGCTTATTCCCGTTCAATTTGAAAACAGAAAACTGCATTTTTAAGAATTATTTTATTTATTAATAATTTAAAACATAAAACAAAATTGGTGAAAAATTTTGAAATTATATTTTATTATTTTTAATTTTTATAAATATTCTGTAATATATGTTTCAAACAAATGTAAGAAAGAATAAAAATTTTACATTCTAAATTTTTAAAAAGTTTTCTTTTAATTTCTTTTTTAATGTGACATCTTAAATAATAATTGATGACTAAATTGAAACAACAATTTTTTAATAAAAACAGTTTATTTTTCATGTAACAAGATGTCAATTACACATTGTTATTATAACTGAAATTCGTGACTTTAATTTTATATGAATAGAAACACATCACAAATCACAGTCACACGTTTCTCTAGCTAAAAAAACATGTAAAAGTATAACGCCCTAACGTTTTATTTTTGCAAGTATACATATTCTATTTCATCACTTCAGTTCATAGCTTAAAAGATTAATTATTATATTCTAAAAAATTCTACTTTCGATTATCGCTTTCCTGTTAAGCTCAATATACACTTGATTTTTGTTTTTTTTTTTTTTTTTCCTTAATAATTGTAAATATTTCACATTTCTCTCACAAGAAAAACAGTTCAACAATTATTTTTAATAAAATTAAATATAATGGTATAAATCAACTCTTAATTATTAATTCTACAGAAAATAATAATACGATTTTAAAATTCTTGCAAATTAAAATATTTTTAATCTTCTCTTGTGTAATTCATACAAAAAAAAATATTGTATATTATCGAGAATCAAAAATGATTCTAAAATTAAGCAATTTACTGATCTCTGAAATATTTTTTTTACTCAATTATAAAAAAAAATTCCACAAAAGATCATCTTCGTATCGTTCAAGTAATATTAAAGAAAAATATATATTCTTTTTAAAATACTCAGTTTGAAAATACTTGAAATATGCTAAATTTATAGAAAGTGTTAAAGAATATAGGAAAGTTATAAAAAAAAATTTAAATAAAAGAACAAAAAAAAAAGCATTTTTCAAGTATTTTCAAACACTTATAATTATTAGTCTTGCAATTTTACAAAGCGCAGTGAAATTTACAAGTTTAGTGTTCATTTTATAAATCAGTTTTTAAACTGACATAAGAATGTATGTTCTTTTTTTTAATATAATAATGTATATTCAATTAGGCCCGAGACTCACGTTACTGATTTAAGTGAAAATGACAATTTTGGCCTCGAATTATTTTTTCCGAGAATCTTTTTCTGTTCTTCTTTCACTCTTTTTTCATGTTCTTTTCTCATTTTTTGCCTCTCTTCTTCCATTAGTCGTTGCTCCTCGACCATTGCAAGTCTTTCCTCGGCCTGAAACATTTGCATTAATATTTAGTTAATAAAAATTATTATTATTATATTATTTTAAAAAATTTTGATAGTTGATATGAAATTTATTAGATTTTATGACTATCAAAATAAACAAAAAATAACAATTATAAATAATAAATATTATTTATGATGTCTAAAAATATTCTATTACAATTTGTAAGTTTTACTATTTACAAAAAAAAATGTTATTTAAATATTTAAAAAATATTAAATTAATTAATACCTATTTGTAAATTATAAAAGTTTTGATTTAATTTTTTATATATAAGAATTAAGAAAATCTTTAAAGGACACTCACCAATTTCTTTTGTGCTTCCTCGATTTTTCTGTTGTTTTCCTCCATGATCCTCTCGAGTTCCTCGCGCTTTTTCCGCTCTTCTTCCTACAATGACAACAAATTCGGTTTAAAGTCGAAGTGATGTTAACGATTTAACTCTTCTTGTTACACCGTTTATAATATATCCAAAAATTATAGTTGGTCTGTGTACAGCTTAGCTTTTACACATCCTAAGGAACCTTTTTTTTTTTGATGTGGGAAAATAGGAGACAGGGGTCTTCCGATTATTAATTTTTGTTTTTGTTTTTAACAACAATCTGGACTGCAAGGTTGGCTTGACGTTAAAATCGCGGCCTATAAACATTATCCTTCGAGAACCACATCGATTTGCTTTCAGCTTCAATCCAATAAAACATCGTGAGACTAAATTACTCCAAAGCATGAAAAGAAAAGAGAAATGCTCAATTTTTGTTTTGTAAATAATTAATAATATCACAATACATGCAGAAATTGTTGTGAAATATTATAATATAAATAGAAAAATAACTGAAAAAAAATTTTATTTTTTCTAAATGAAGATTCATTCGATTAACATATAAATTCAAATTAAATAACAGTTTATGAGTGAAAAAAATATTTATATCAATTAATTTTGTCGTGTATTAAAAGAAAAAATGCTATTTTCAATTTTCTAATTTAAATTTTTCTAATTCAGGCACATGCACGTTTTCTTTTTTTTATATTCAACAAAATTCTAGTTTTACTGAATAATTGTTTATAAATTGTTATTTATTTTGAAATTATCGTTGAAAGGCTGAAACTTCTTTTTTATAGAAAAAAAAAATCTCAGAATTCTATTCAAATTGAGATATTGAAAAAAAAGGTTAACATCTAAATGATTCGCAAGTCTGATTTTTGCCATTAATCAGATCAGAGGACGGAAAACCCACATCTAAAAATTGTTTCATTAGCTGACGATTATCACGTGGTGCCTAGCAATAATATATATTGTTGGTACCAAACAAGTTCGAGCAAAGAACAATAATAACAATGTATATAATTTTTTTTTTTTTTTTGGTATATAATGAATTATGAATATATAAATTGGATAATACCTGAATGAAGACTCACGCCAGCACGTAGGAGATGACTTCTTCATAGACAATCACTCAGCAGTGAATTAAAAACCGGCTTCTTCTCTTGGTAGTCAGATAGGAAGGTGACCTATGTTTTGCTAGGTCGTACTTTGTTGCTAAAGGTTTCTAATTTTTTTTGCGACCCTTTTTAAAATTTTCTACCCTCATTCTTTTTCCCCCGTTCATTTATCTCTCAACTTTTCGAATTTTTTTTAGCAAAAACTTAGCTATCACTTAATATTTATCAATTTATTTTATAATTTTTATAGAGGTATTGAAAGAAAAAAACAAGTCCACGATCAGTAAAGAAATAAAAATTACAACCGATTTTATTTGGGGGGGGGGACAAATTTTGAAATAAAAAAGAAAAGAAAAAAAAAGAAACTTGGAAAAATAGGATAAAAAATTCTTATCAATTAGGAAGCCCAGGTAAAAATACCACTGGTCCTATAATTTTTGCAATAGATAAATATTCTTTATTTAATAAACAACGAATTAACGAAATAACGGGAAGTAAACTAAATTTACAAAAAGTATCGAGAGATTAAAATTCTCTCGATTTTAATTAATCCTTAATGTCCATAAAAAGGGTGATAGCATTCGTTTTCACAATCGTGTTATTTTATAAATATATATATATTATATCACTGTTCGGCTTGGTGTTTATTTCTCTCGTGATGGCCAAATTGACACAATTGAGAAATTGAAAACAAATCTGTAACTATAATCTTACCGAGGATTTTTCAAATCCCACAATTTCTAATGTCAATCAGAATTTTCACCGTTCTTGTTTTTTTTATATAAATAAATAAATATGTTTATATGTATATATAAATATACATATTTATGTACATGTACAGGTACACAGCTCTGTTCACAAATATCTGTGTCATGCGCATATAATAGGAAAACCTTCACAATACCATTGAGAAAAAGATCACTTCCCAACAACGCGACCTCAGTGGATGTTGGAAAGTAGAAGCACTTAGGTTTTTTTTTCACTTTTCGTCAATTGTTTTTTTTTTCAACCACGGTGCTTCTCACCCAAACGCTGTTACTGCCTTATTAAATTTGATGATAAAAATCTGAATTTCCTCCTTTATAGGAAAGGAATTTTCTTTTTTTTTCATAAATAATACAAAATTTTGCAATTTAAATAAATTATTACATATGTATTTAACAATTTCAATATAATATACGCACATTATGCTCAATAAAAAAAAAAAGAAAAGAGAAAGAGATAAATTTTGAAAATAATGAATATTTGGAGACAAATTTGTGCGATTTTTTTTTTTTTAGCAAAAGAGAGAGAAAATGAAGTTACAGCGCTTGGGCTAACACAGGCCAATGTTTCTTTGGATTGGTCTTACCTCTCGTCGCTTTTCCTCTTCACGTAGTTTTGCTTGTCGCCATTCCATTTCCTCCATCATTTGTCGTTCCATGGCTCGTTTAGCCTCTTCTACTCTTTTTTGTACCTCGGCCTCAATTTCCTCCTTTCGTTTCTCGAGTTCTTCCTCAACCCTTTTTTGTACAAGTTCCTCGATTCGTTTTGCAGCTTCCTCCTCAACCATTTTTTGCTCCACCTCCCGCTGCCGCCTGGAGGCATACACGTATCGAGTGTTTCGTTCTATTTCTAATTCATCTAATCTAATTTACAATTAATTCATAGAGAGAGAGAGAGAGAGAGAGAATTACCATGCTATTTTGAAAATTTTTACTATTAATTTTTCTTTTTCAACTATATTTTAAAAAACTGTTAATTTATCGATTATAAATTGTTTATTAGTCAGAAACATTTTAAAAATTATAAACAAATCATGCTTGTGTCTCGTATTAATAGAAAATAATAAAATCCAATATAATTAATTACACACCATCACCACAAAAATTTATATACACAATCTTACCCAACCGCACTCGTCACGAGGATTTTGTTCGTTAATTCTTTCTTTTTCCTGACAACACAATGACAAAAACAACATATAAAATTTTGCCTTTTTAAATATTGTTTTAATCCTTTCAAATTGTAATTTTCTTAAATATTTACTAATACATTTTTGTAGTTTTTCTAATTTTAATTACATTTTTTCCATATATACAAGAAAATTAATAGTTTCTTTCAATCAGAAAGGATTAAAAATTTAAAAAACGATACTCCACTTGATATTTATAACAGAAAATTAATAAATGCAATCACCTCTGTCTCTCCATTTCCGCCAGTCTTTCAACTTCGTCCATTTTGCGATCCCTTTCTCTGTCTCGATAAGAACGCTTTTTATGACTGACAATGTGAATATCATCGGAAATATCTGATGCTGAACTCGAAGATGGAGAGTGTGACCTTTTTCTGAAAAAGTGAATTTTTTAAAAATTAAAAAACAAAAAAAAACATTCCAAAAATTTGTTCATATCCTCTTATTGAGTGAAAGACTCAAAAATTACAACACAAAAAAATGTATAAAAATTTTAAATAATTTATCCAATAAGAAAAAAAACAATATAGGTACATACTTTTAAAAAAGTTTTGAAATAATTTTTATTATTTAACATTTCGAAATCTAAATGTCTCTTACTTCCTAAACTCCAATAGATGCGAATATAAATTTCGCATATGAAATATACAATAAACATTAAAAAAAAAGTAATAAAAAAAAACTAATCAATAGAAACAAAAATTTAAATTGTATTCAACTTATTATTTAAAATTAACATTTTTTTTAGACAAAAAATGTATGCATTTTTGTATGCACAAGAATAGTTTTATTTTCATAATAATAATTATCGTAAAATAAACAACACGACTGATATATAATATCAAAATACATAATAAAGAGATAAAAATAAGGAGTGCTAATCATACTTTAACTTGGAGGCATCGATTAATGCAAAACAAGAAGGCGGAAGAGGGATAGAAGAAAGAGGTTTAGTCGAATAACAAAACGAACAGAACAAAAATTTAACATTTGAAATTGTAATAATTACCTTGTCTTTGAACTGCGTTCTTTGGGTTTTTCTGAATATTTGCTGGTTGAACGTTTTTCACGAGATTTTGATCTTTTTCGCGAATGCTTACTCTTGTGACGCCGCCTACTCGGCGATTTACTCCGCGATCTTGATCTACCCATTTTTACAAGTCTAACCGTTTTTCCTGATGACTCAATGACTAAATAAAAATTAAATTTTTATTAATTTATTCTTTTTCTTTTCACTAGATATACAATATGTATATCAAACCCGTAAATCGATTTGAACTATGAAGAAAATTTCGACGTAAATTCACAAAATTATGTACAAAAAAAATACGACGTACGCAGCTGCACAGAGTGATATTTGTAAAATAACTATATTATATATCCGTGTAAACTTTGTACTAAAATTAATGAATTATTACTTTCTATTAAAGAGATTTAAACGACCTTCTGTAAACGATTTTTACTGCATTTTGTGACCCTATTATTACTTTTTGTACACTTCAGCATTTTATGAATAACTCATTTGACTAATGTTGACTTTTCTTTCTTTTTGAGGTTATTAATTTGACTAGAGCTGTTTAGATCCGATTTACATGAATAAGAGATTTTCTACGTAAATTACATGTATTTAACGAATATACAGACTTTACTTTTATGGCGGAAAATTTAAAACTTAAATTAAATAAACAATTTTAGATGTTTATTTTAATACTTTTAACAATTTCTTCAATATTTTTCATATATTTTAATGTGCTTTACATAAATTATAGAAATAACCACTTGAAAACAAAAAAAGAGATCTTAAGTTAAGATCAGAAAGATGATTGGTTGTCGCCATCTTTAAAAGTTTCAAAAATACTGTTAACCGCATTTTTAGCGGTGCAGTTGTTTATAGTTGTTGATAGTTGATTCTGTATAAAGTTTTCATATAATAACATTGTGTTATAAACATTATAACTATTTTAAAATATCCAGTTAAATATTCTTCGCGTAAGGAAATTTGTTAATATATTTTATCTGTCAAAAATGTTTGTTTATAGAGTCTCCAAGTTTTGACAGTTATAACCTCAAATCCATTTTTTATAAGTTTAATAATATTTTATACATTGCAATAATTTGTAATAAATTAATTCTTATAAAATGTGTAATTAAAAAAATTTCAGGTTTAAAAAACGATAGAGCGTTTTAAATAATTAGAAAATTAAAATTATGAAAATGAACGAATATCTTGAAAACAATGTTCCTGATAAATATCAAGGAGACGTTGGAAGAGCTCTTGATGCAATGTCAGAGCATTTGGATAATCGAGGAAGAAAGTAAGTATTTTAAAAAAAGTAGCTAATAATTGTTCTTTGAATTAAAAATATAAAGAAGATTAGATATTATTAGTTAAATTTAATTATATACAATAAAATCCATTCTTTTTTGTTCAGCTTTCGTTGGTCAATGGGAGATTTTCAAGTTGGAGCACCTTTAGGTCGAGGTAAATTTGGCCGAGTATTCTTAGCTAGAGAAAAATCATCGCATTACATGGTAGCATTGAAAACACTTTACAAAATTGAATTGGTGAAAGGAAAAGTTGAAAAGCAAGCATTGCGTGAAATTGAAATTCAATCTCATTTAAGGTATTTCTCTATTTTATTATTTATACTTTATATTATATAGAATTAAAAAAATTAATTTTTATTTTCAGTCATCCGAATATTTTACAACTTTTAACTTATTTTCATGATGAAAAGAAAATTTATTTAGTACTCGAGTTTGCAGCAGGTGGTGAATTGTATAAGGAGCTGAAACGTCAACCAGGCGAAAGATTTAATCAACATTTGTAAGTTATTTTATTATTTTCTAAACTATAATTTAAATAATAATAAATATTCTTTTTTACATTTTAGGTCAGCAAAGTACATTTATCAAGTAGCAGATGCTCTTGAATATTGTCATAGAAATAATGTTATTCACAGGGATATAAAACCAGAAAATTTATTACTTACTTTTAATGGCGACATTAAATTGGCCGATTTTGGATGGTCAGTTCATGCACCCTCTTCAAAGTGAGTTGATTTTTTATTGAAAATTGTTATTATCCTCATTTAATTGTTTGAAAAAATAAATAAAAATAAAACAATTTTTACATTTTTAGACGTCACACGGTTTGTGGTACTTTGGATTATCTTCCACCGGAAATGGTGACATGTCAAAGGTACGATGTGTTTGTCGATCACTGGTGTTTAGGAATATTGTGCTATGAATTTCTCGTAGGAAAAACTCCTTTCTTCAGTGAAACTCAACAGGAAACATACGATAAAATACGAGCTGTAAGAATTCCATGGCCGTCGCAAATCACACCAGGAGCCAAAGATTTAATTTCAAAGGTAATTTTATAAATTCATTTTTTATAAAAATATGAATAAATTTACAATAAATTTTACTGATTAAATCAAAACGTGAATAGTAGAAAGAAATGTTAAAAATTATTTTTTCTTTTAATTTTCAGCTCATACGAAAGGAAAGTAATAAAAGAATTCCACTCGCAGATGTAAAGAGACATTTCTGGATTCTTGAACATAAGAATGAGAAGTAAATGTTTGTTATTCTAGGTTTAGTATAATTAATTGTATGAGTATTGTCATGACAATGTTTTATTGAAAATATTGATTATAAAATTAGATATTAATTTATAATAATCAATTTATTTTTATACATGTATGAACAAAATTTACAGGACTCATTATTATGAAAAATAATTGTTTGAAATTGAATTTAAGAATTAATTTCTATTTTTTTCGTTTTTGTTTAATGTATTAACCATGACCATTTTAACAAAAAAATAAATTAATCCATTTACAATGAGAAAAAAATATAATTTTTCGAAAGAAATAAACATATTCTTCATCTTTAAAACATTTTGTTGATAAAATGAATATTACTTCTGTTATTAAGAATCCCCATTCTTGTTTTATTTATCTTTTAAAATTCTTATTTCTTTCTTATTTCTCTTCGTTTTCATTGAGCAAAGTTAACTAAAAAAAATAATTAAAAATCATGCATAAATTAATAATTCTCGATCCCAGGTACCTGAGTATATTTGCTCCCACGAGTCATAAATTGGGGTTTTAGTATTTTGATTAGAGACAGTTAATTCAATATCTCGATGTTTTTGATAATCTTGATATGGATATTGAATTTGCCACCAATCAAAAACGTCAACATGAACTACACCGACTAATGTTACAATTTGTGTTGGTGTTTGTGGAACGTAAAAGGAACCAAAACCAAGTACAAGACGATGATGTTCAAATCCCGGTGATAAATTCATTGATACAGTTTGCAATGTCAAACCAATTACGGGTTGTAACATACTGTACTGTAAACAAGTCACCTGAAAATTTTTTAAAAGTATTTTTAGTTTTTTAAACAATTGTTACGAACATTTAGAAATAATAATTGATTCAAATAAATATTTTCAAAATCATAACTGAATAATAATAATAATAATAATAATAATAATAATTGAAATTCATTGTAAAATATTGGAAACTTACTCTGAGAATTTTGCAACCTTCTTCTTGATTAAACATAACATCGCTACGAGATAATTCATAATTTTGATTTTTGTTATTATTTAAACGATCAATGTGAGAGATTTTTTTACTGTTCTTCACTTCCTTCAATTTAAAATAGAAGTACCATCGATTTTCTCCTTTCTAAAACAGATTTCGAACAATTTTAATTTTTTTTTTTTGTACAGAAAATAATTTTCTTTAAGTTTTTTTTCAAATATAATTGTTGCTTAATTATAAACGATTACTAAGCAGATAATTGTAAAACTTAATAAAAGTGAGAAAATTTTATTTTTCATGTTTCTAATTCGAAATCATCCTTACCTTATGCCACATGAGAGTACAAAATCGTTTCACCAATGAATGCGGATCTTTTTGCTCCAATTGTGATCGATTATCTGGACCTTTTAAAAATTTACAATAACTAAAATGAAGAGCTCGAATAACATAAGCTCGAAGTCCTAATGGTCGTACAATTCGTTCAGGTTGCAAATACTGTGGTAAGCCAGTCACAGATTTATGATATCTAAAGAAAAAGATATTTTTGAATTTGTGAAATTGTCTATTTAATAAAAATTTAATTTTTATAAGTATAAATTAAATTCTATCTTAAATCTCTTATTTTGTTATTAACTTTACCTTCTTAATAAATGAAACCAAAATTTAGCAGTGTGCGTAACATAATATGATTTTTTACAAATTATAGCAAATTTAATAACCATTTCAGGTGAAATGTGTTCAGAAATGAGAAACCAAAGATCTACTGGATAATCTATTCCTTCCACTGAATTGTCATTTTCTTTTTGTTCGGATTTTACAGTTTTTCTTTTAACTTCAGTGACATTTGGGTCATTTTTAGATTTGGGTAAATCATCATTTTCTAATAATGAATCTTCTGTTATAATTAATCTCTGCTTCACTATAATTATAAAGAATTTTAAATTATCTCATTGATGAAAATTTATATTTGTATTCACAATTATATATTTAATATATTTAAATACAATTTCAATTAACTATATTCTTAATTTCGATTACTGACCTTCAGAAGTTACGTTTGCAACAGCTTTTTTCAATCTTGAATGTGAACCACTGGAGGCATTGGCAAAATCATTGATGGTGATGTCTAAAAAAACATTTAAAAATTGAACCAAATATGAAAAATATATAAAAAAAAGTGTATAAAACAGAAAATATTAATATAAGTAATACTAACCTCCCAAATTCTTTGTTGGTTTTTTACATAAGTTCTGTTTCTTTTGTCCTTTGTTACGGGATTTTGAGCCTGGCATTTTGTAAGCTTTTTTTAACGTTTATCAAACTAATAAAATACATTTCAATGTAATATTTAAGTACAAGTGTTCTTCCTCTAAGTATATACTTAAAGAAACATTTCCATTTTCATATCTACAAAACTTCACAATATTTTTAAAATGTCATGTAAAAGAACAAAACATTTTCAAACTAATTGACTTATTCTTGCAAATTAAACAACTAAAAAATCCTAATTAAATAAATTACAGCTACTTTTTATTAACGACAAGATGATGTTATTCGGAACAGCATTGCAAATTCGGTGATTAAAATCACCGTTTTGACATTATGAGGTTATGTTTACTTTTAACATCCTAATCCTATCCTATTGGTAGATCGGGAAAAGCGCCAAATTCATCGTTTTTTTCAAAACATTTATAAAACACATCAGTTTAAAAAAAAATTATGAAAAGCAGTTACAGAAGTGAGATTATAAATAAGAACAATATAAAATATTCTTCATAACAATATTTATTAGTTCTTTCATTATTCAAATTAAAAGAAAAGTTTAAAAATTTTTTAATTATTTTACAAACATTAAAATAAATTGATTTTTTAATATCTAAAGAAGATTTAAAAAAATGAATAGAGCAAAAAAAAAACATTACAAAATTAATTTAATAAATGTTAAGAAATAAATACTTCTAATACCTTTGTACCTGGTTTTTTTTTTATTCAAAATATTTGTATTACAATTACTCGACGCGTGCATGTTTTATTGGAATAATAAACCTTGATTCATGAAAAATGTTGGAAAATATGCGCATTAAATTAAAACACATTACAACATTTACTATCATATAATTAAAGGTAAAATATTTTTCTTTTTTAAAATACATCTCACAAAGAAGAAGATCCAACTGAATTAATGATAAAATATAATTATAATATCATTGAAATATTTAAGTGTACTTTCTGAAGCAATACATTTATTCGAAAATTTTCAAACACTTTCAAAGCACCTCAAGATGAGTTGTCATAATTTTTTTTTTGTTTTGAGTTTTTATTCAATAATAAAAATGGAACTTATATATCTACGTTTTACAAATAATATAAAATATATTTCTTAACTAACCTTTTTTCGTATTTGTATTTGTATTTATAAAAAAAAAAGAATTATTGTCAGTTTCTTGTTGAAATTGACAAAATTCTAATTTAAAAAGAAAAATTAATTTTTAATTTCTAACGACAATTAGCCATTTGAAGTGCAATGAAATTTGGAGTATATTTTTTCTATATGATCAAATTACATTGTCTTTTTTTTACAAAAAAAAAATTCTTTTAACTTCCTTACTCCAAATGTATGTACATTATTTGGGAATATAATGAACGAACTAAAAACTTTTATCAATACAATATAATAATGATAAAAAAAAATGTATACGTAATAATAATGAATGAAAATAATTTCTTGTATCATTGATCACTGGATTCTTAATTATCAAGTACTATTTTCCTCTTTTTTTTCTCTCTCCCTTTCTCTCTCTTTCTTTATGTTGATTCAATTCGAATCTTTGAAATGTATAATAATTTATATCAAAGAATATATATATTTATATTTATATATAATTAAATTCTTAGGAGTTGAAATGGACAATACTAAGAAGTATTATTATACATGCACTGTGTGCCTTTTTCTTGAAATGAAATTTCTAAAATACTTCTATACTCTTGTCACTTTCACAAGTCCTCGTGTTTGTTTTTTTAGTTTCTTTTTTTTTTTAGTTGTGATAATTCAAATGTTGAGGTATAACCAGTGACACAAAGTTTAACCTAATGTTACTTGCTTTCCGAACCAATTGATGTTGAATTCTTTTCGTCATTGTCATTCTCGCCCTCTTTTGTTTCAGCTTCCGCAAGAATACTGTCATCTTCAATCATTGACACGGCTGTCAATGAAACATTAGAAGCTACGGGAAGAATTTTAACAAATTAAAATCACAATGAATTTTAAATGTAGTGAAAATATTTTTTTGCCTTCAATTAAAATACATTTAAATTAGACGAAATCTAAATAAAAAATATATTAAAGAGTATTTAATTATACCTGTCTTTTTAATTGTGGTCGCAGGATCTTGTGTAAGAGAAAATATTTTTTCCTCAGACATATCCTTCGTCAGTTCTTTAAAATGATCGACTTGATCAGAAAATGATTGCCAAAATGTTTGACCCTCGCGAATCGTGAACATTGCCTAAAATAGAAATTGTAAATACAAAAATAAAAATCGAAAATACATCTATAATATTATTTTTCAATAAAATGTTTTTGTAAATACCTTAAATTTATTATATATGTGCTCTGCTTTTTGTCTAATCTGTTCGGCCTTTTGCTTAAAAATTATCTACAAGGAAAAAGAATGTTATATTTTTATATTCATTTAAAAGATTTTAAATTCAATTCTTTGAATATTTACCGTTTCCTCATCGTTTAGCTTCCAATCTGACAAATTGCCAATGTATCTTCGTAGCTGAAAATTCATAATTCAATGTTATATACCAATTTACATTTGAAAGCTTAATTTAGTGTTTACTTATTTTAATTTATGAAATTATTAATAAATAAAATTTTACTCTCTTGGAAAATAATATTGAACGTTTTTAACTTCACTTACCCTTTTAATAGTTTCGACGATTTGAGGATGCTTCTTTAACATTAATGGATCAATTGAAAGATTTAGCATGACATCCATAGCTTGTAAACATTGATCGGCATTGGCTTTATCAAGTCCCAAATTTGATTTGATTTGCGCATCTAATTCTAAAAGTTGAGATTCAATGCGCAACCATCTAAAATAAAATAAAGTTCAAATAAATTAAAAAATTAATTTAAAAATTTATCAAATTAAACTTTTATCACTTACTTTAATTTGATATTTTGTTTATTATTTCCATCCTTAGCAAGGGGACGTTTTCCATCAAGTGGAACTTGAACATTAAAATCCAAACGATCTTTAACTTGTTCGGGAAAAATTTCTCCACTTTCCAATTGAGCCTTCAATTTCATAGCCTTTCGTGCGTTTGTCGTTTCCCATTGTTCTTGAGCTTTATCATTTGCAAATGACAGCGGTCGATTTAAATCAAGTTTAATTCCAACATTTTCCCCAGAAAATGTACGCGCAGGAAGAAAGCGACCCGTCTTGTCTGGTGTTGATGATGTAATAATTGCATCACTTGGTAACTCACTGACATTACTCTTTCCTATTAAAACAAAAAATAAAATTATAATTTTGTACATTTTATTTTTTAAAAAATCTTTTTAATAACAATATATTTTGTCTGAAATTTTTATTTAATAGTTAAAAATTCAGGGAAGGAACCCACTTTCCACTGTAAGTCGCTTTTTGGTGATAGCGGCAGGTGTGGAATTTTGATTGTCTATCGCTTCTTCAATTTTTCTTGGCCTTCCACGTCCTGGATGATGTTCTGTAACAAATATTCAATTATAGAAATTTTAAAGATAAATTATTATTCATCCTCATTAAAAAAGGCGTGTAAAAATTGAAAAAAAAAATTGTTTTCTTAAACCAAACTCGTACCTACCTATTGTATGAATTTGAATAAAAATTGTACTTCTCAGTGTAAAAAAAAAAACAAAAAGAATATGCTTTTTTAAAAAAACGTATTTTTAAAATAAAAATTAACTAAGAAAATGAATATTAATTCGTCAAAATGCTAATTTTTTTCACTGCGTCACTTCCCTTGCAGCAATATCACAGGCACCATTCAAATTGATAATTGTTTGTGTGTGTTTTAAAAGAAAGGATAAATGAAAAATATAAAAACAGAAGAACTACGAAAAACCAAGCAATGAACTTTATTACAAACGTAATAATACTTTTCTTTTGCAAAATTCACCACACTGAAGTATAGTGTATTAATTTCACATAAATACTGATACAATCTCATAAATTATTAATTAAAAAAAAAAAAAAAACAAAAACTAAAAATCTATTCTCTTGTTCGTTTGTGAAATGATGCAACTAACAAAATGGCAAAATCACTTAAAATATTTAAAATCGAATACAATATTAAAATATTCTTGAAGCAATTATTAAAAAAAAGAACAAAAATCGAGGTAGACACAATAAAAGTCTCAATAAAGTATATAGAGAACTAAAAAAATGAGTTAAAGAATAGAAAACCAAGAACTGTTCTTACAAAGTCTGAAATGAACACGAATCATTATGAGCTTTCATTTAACTGATGTTTTAACATTCTAATATAACCAAGACCCTCTAAAAGTACTAATCTAAACAGATCATTAGTTGTTAAATTTTCAGTCTCGTTTGTCTCTGGAAATTCGCCTACTTCTGATGTTAGTGTAGCAAATAGAGGTGTGGTCGAAGAACCTTCAAAAATTATAAATAATCAAAAGAAAGTGATTATTTTTTATTTTTAAACATTTTACGTAATAATAACAACCAACTATTTAATAAACTAATCAATAATAAAACTATACATTTAAAAGTTTTAATATTTAACAATTGACAAATTCAACTATTTAATAATTGAAAATTTAAACTGTATAATAATTTTGAATTAAAATTTAATTTATATAACTGAAAAATTTCAAAATCTAAACTATGTATTTAATAATGAGAATTATGTAAAACGATAATTAAAGAAACAATGTGAACATACAAGTTGCGATAAAATGGTCGTTTTTAAAATAATAATGTCGATTTAAAAACAAAGTACTACATTCCTCAATAAATTGCAAATCTATAACACAACATGCACATAAAATCATAAAACCCTAAAAAAGAATAAAATAACCTACCATTTTTCTCAGTTTCTACACCATCAGAATCAGCAAAACGTTTCGGCTTAATTTTTCGTCCACTTCGACTGACGACTTCTTTTTCTTTTTCCTTCTCTTGCACTTCCTCTGCAGGCACTTCAATAGTTGTCTCCTGCTGCTTTGGCGTATTTTCCTTTGGCCGTCCACGTTTCTTTTTTGCTTCCGGAACATCCTATAAACAAGTTGAAAATATAATTATTATAAAATTATTAAATATAATTAATTTCTTAAAAAACAATTAAGTAAAAAAATGAATATTTTAATAAAATGTTAAGACATCAGAAAAATATAACATCAAATAATGCAAAATAAATTGAATGTATGGAATAATCGCACAAATCAATTAATCTCAAGAAAGACTTGTCGGCAATTCCAAATTTAATATTGGGTTTATTTGTACAACAATTGTAATCATAAAAATTGCTGTTGAAAGAACAAAACAACCCAATTTGAATATATTTAATTAAATAAATTACAAAACACAATTTAAATGATCTTACTGGTGTATTTACTGTAGCCATTGATTTTCTCTTCAATGGTTTTTTCTTTTCGCCTTCGTCAATGACCAAATTTCCTAATTCCGCATCACTATCAGTGTTAACTGGCTCAATTTGAGAATTAACTTTTTTTGTTTCTTCTACTGGAACAACTGCTGTATTTAAAGATAATGTTATTGCAAATTATTTTTAGAATTTCACATGTAATAATTTCAAAAATAAATAAACAATATAAAAAAATATAAAATTGCGTCATACCTTTCTTTTCTTTGGTTGGAGGTGCAGCGGTTGGTGAATCATTTTTTAAATCCGCTTCCAATTGTTCCAAACCTTCAATAAAGTTTTTTCGTTTTGTTGTCTTTGCGCGAAATTTCTCTTTATTTTCTGAATATTCAAAAAGTTCTTCAAGTTTGCAAATGGCGCTAAAAAAATAAAATTTCAATAAATCAAGAAAAAAAAAATTCATAACATTTTTGCATATGATTAAATTTAAATAAATCTTACGTTTCTTGAGTTCCATAAAAGGATACATGAAACTTTGGATGTTTATGGTTATCTTCAGAGATTTCTTCAATCTGAAAATATAAATATTAATTTATTTAATAAAAAATTTGAAATATAATTGAAATAACAGTAAGTTATAAAATAACAATAATTTATTATTAAATTTAAAGTGAATTAAATATATTTGATAAAAAATTCAAAAGTAAATACATTTTTTTTTTAAAGAAAAAAATAGACTATCAATATGGAAACGTAAAAATAACACAACTTTTTATTAATTGCTGAATTATATTTAAATTATTTTTGAATTTATGTAAATAATTATATTAATTATCGAATAGTATAATCGTTGAGTGTGATTAATCACGATAGAGAACAATTCATTTGTGTGTGATTGATAGTTTTTAACGGCTTTTGCCGGATTAAGCATGGACAGGAAACCGCTCATGCCGCATGAGAAATATATATATATATATATATAATTATATTGCGTGCCGCATCATTTAACAAAAAATAGCCATCGCAATCGATCAAAATAGTTAATTTTATAATCTCTATTAGAAAAGTTATCAGAAAAATAACTTTTTGCTATTAAAACAAAAATGAAATCAATGTTAATTGCTGAAAAAAGGAGAATCGTTAAAAAAGATTTAGCTTACTTTGGCTGGCCATGGCGGGTGACCTCGAACTTTTGCAAACACCTTGTCTCCACGAGCAAACTTATTTTGAACTCGATTAACCATGATGCTGTTCGCAATTTTGAACACTTGATTAAAATAATCTACTTACTTCTCTAAATATTTATTTTAATTTAAGCACTTTTGTATTAACAACAACCAGAAAACATCACAAAAAGCACCCACATCCATGAAACCGAAAACACTTTCTATAGATGGCTTCTCCCCTCTTTCAGGAAACATTGGCTTTATTTTCGATTAAACACTCGACTAATCAGAATACGGACATGTCGGAATTGTCCAATCACAATGTGAAATTTCCAAGCATAACCTAACTTTTTAAATCGCGGGAAGAATGTAGAAACGCTTGGAACACATTACACTGTGTACTGCCTTTATCATAACAAAACTTCCTAATGTAATTTTTGAAATATCTAGTAAGAAATAAACTTTAAATTTTTTAAGTCTTAATGACTAATAAAACAATTAAGAATGTAAGAAATAAAATTATTTAGTTTCTTATTTTTTATTTTCAGAACTTTTTAAATTGTTCTGAGCGACAACTGTAGTTTTTGGCGGGACATTTAAATGCACAAATAAATATTATTAAAAATAATAATTATAATACTATTGGAGTTGCATTATTATGGCCTAATTTTCAAATAATCCAAAGTTCGAATGTTTATTTCATCGAATTTCCAATAAAATATCGAATTATCAAAAGATAGAAATGTCAAAAGTTTGAATGTTTATTTAATCGAATATCTTAAAGTTAGAATTTTCAAAAGATCAAAACTTTTTTTTACACAAGAGTTTACACTCTATGTTGTACTTGACCATAGCTTAAAATTATCAAGTGTTTACAAGGTTCAAAGTTTTTCCGATAGGTTGAGCCAGATAGACTATTTTGAAATTAACAAGCAAATAGTAGTTTTCAGCATAATTTTAATCTTTATAGAGGATACAAATCTCTTATATGTACTATTAATGTAAACCATTTTACCTCTAAAGATTAAAATCATGCTGAAAATTATTATTTCCATGTTAATTTCAATATAGTCCCCCTGACTCAATCTGTTGGTAAAAATTTGAACCTTGTAAACACTTGGAACCAATTGATAATTCTAAGCTATGGTCAATTGCAACATAGAGTGTAAACTTTTTTGTAAAAAAAAGTTTTGAACTTTTGAGAATTTTAACTTTAATATATTCAATGAAATAAACATTCAAACTTTTTACAATTCTATCTGTTTTGATTTGAATTTCCCTCCAAAAGTTATAAAAAAAATTTTGTTATTTTTATACTTAATACTTTTATCAAATATTTATTTTATTTATTTACCAACAGTAAATTAAATTAAATAAACCTGAAATTCATTCGTATTAAATTATATCTTTTAATGTTTATTTACACATTTTTTCATCACATTTGCGTTTTTAAAATTCAAAAGTAAACTTCCGTTTCTATATTTAAGTCCAAATAAACAACCGGTTCCGTTTTTATCAGAGCTGAGTGTTGTTATTTAACGTGCGTTTAATTTGAGTGTACATTTAATATATATTTATTTGATTGCAATTTCGGTATTAAATGAGTAACAGTTGTTATTAACGTTAATTATGAATATTATAATTAATAATGTCTTTGAAATTAATTAAATGTTTTTTAAATTCGTTTATTTTATAATGTAATTTCAGATTTTTGTGATTTCGGTATTTCGCGTTTTTAGGTGTTTACTTATTTGGGAATTAATATTTATATTTTATCATTGCTTTTATTAATAACATTTATGGTTTTTAACTCTTTTGTTGAACTTAAAAAATATTATTTAATTAATATTCGAAGTTGGTAAATTAGTTTGGAAATCAAATTATTATTGAAATGTTATGGGAGGGGGTTGCAGAGCGAAGGGATTGAAATAAGTAAGGTTAGGGTCAAGTGTCTGACATTTTCGCCATTTTACCGGAAAATTGCTTCTAATTTAATCATCACAAAAAGAAAAGTTTAATGTATATAATAATTAAAGTTTAAATGAAAATAATATGTGAATTTTGATTAATGAAGTATCTTGTAGAACGAGAAATATTAATAATGAAAGTTATACAACCATAATATCTTATATAAGGTTATATATGTTGACATTGATTTTGGATCATCGTGATTTTATCCATCAAATATTTTTATTATAAAGGTATGTTTATTATTTTTATTATTAAAAATACCCATTTATATTGTAGATACATTTTTTATTTTTATCTTAATTTGTACATAATGCATAAAAGTAATATTTCCCTTTATTAATATTTATATTCTTGGCGCCACACAGAAATTACGGAAATAGAATATTCGTTTGCAAAATGTAACAAATATTTTAATTATTTTAAGTTTAATATGTCATCTTCTAAAAATTTGCGTGTTTATTTTTAAGAATGAAAGCATTTAAGAAATATGACATTTAAATTTATACATTTAGTATTATTCGGTTAAAAAAAATTTTTTCTGCATTTTCCAATAATATAATTTTTAAAGCATATGACTTGAAATATGTATTACTTTATTGGAAAATTCGTGAAAAAAAGTGTATTAAATTTTTTTTTATTGTAAACAGGTAAATCAGGAAACAATCTTCTAATTTCTCGAGTACACATAAAATAGTTGGAATTAATATTTAATTTCTAAATTCCACTTTAATTTTTGATTAACAATTTGAATTCGGATTATTATTGTTTAATTGTTTGTTATTGTTTTTTTTTTAGTATTGTCAGAGTTTTTATTTAAATATTAATTAAAATAAAATTCTAATTTTAATTTGCGAGGCATTTCAAGTACCAATAAATGTTTAGTTTATCGTGTTTCTTTTACGATGCTGAAGATCGAACTTTTCATTTGAAAAGTTTGAGTCTTTTAAATAGTGTTAACGACGGGCTTTCCTTTTAGTTCTCTCTACTTATAATGAAAGATCGGGAAGGGAGTTTTGTTAGCATCTTCTAACCTAACCAGTGGATGGTAATATAAACTTTGTGCCGACATTACCGCGATAATTAAACCAGCGAACTGCAGAAACTGCAGTCTGCATTGAAATATCTCATCCCCGAGCTTTCGCTACTTTCGCGCTCCAACTTCCTACTAAAAGGTGGGTTATTTGCAGTAAAACCAAGATCCTGATGCTACCTATATAGCCCATCTTATTCCAAGTTATTGCTGGTATCGCACACCACTATTTTCATCAACATTCGAGTAAATCGTAAAAAAAAAAAATAAATAAACACCACTCATTCATTAGTTCTTTTTTTTAATTTACAATATTTTATTAAAATTTCATTAAATAAAATTTAGTTAAAGGGAAATTCTACTGTGTAAATAAAAATTCGGTTAAAGAGAAATTTTGTTAAATGGGTAAATTTGAGAACACGATTTTTAGATTTTTTTTTTTTGAATTCACTGATTGAAGAGAGTATATAAAGATAAGATAATATTATGAACTGGTATTTAAATTGTGCTTAATCATTATCCAGTTTGATTAGATATGCGACATAGAGGTTTTCATTTTACCATTCTACGTACATTTTGCACTTTTCCTGGAAGTTCACAAGTACTTGCTTCAAATGATATCATTATATAACTTATCCGCGTGTGAGCTATATGTATACAAAATATATGTCTCAATAATGCAAGCTTGTGTGTGTATAATTATTAACATTGTGAATTTTATCATACATATGAAAATATAATGACTCAAGTCTTGTGTATATATATATTCATGGAAATCGAAATCAATCTTAATATTTTTTATATATATATATTAAAATTTAATAATAATTTAATAATAATTATATAGTCAAAATTAATTAAATAATTAAAATTAAAAAATTTTAAAGTTCCTTAAAATTTTAAATATTTTCAAAATGTTTCTTTTGAAAACGTGCAGGTATAGATATAGGAAATTCCCAATGTCAAAACCAGACTGAGCAAACTTAGGTATAGCAATAATTTCTTTTTTATGGAATGTACTTGGAAATTTAGTGAAAAGACTATTTTCCTTTTTTTTCACTTCGCCTCTTCAAGGCTATATGCAACAGACTTGTAAACATTATGTTTGCTAACTATTTTCTTATTTTATTTATATGAAAAATATATTCTTTGCAAATATTTTTTTCCACGAATGTATTTTTTTGTTTATTTACTTTGTTTATTTAAATTATTTTATCATAAAATTTCATTATAAAATTATTAATCTTTTTCAAGAAATATTTCTCAATTATTTTAATTTTCAATAAATTAATAAATTTAAATATTATAGAAACCTAGATTTTTTGAAAATTATATTTATTTTATTTTTGATGAGTTAATGATATAATGTGACTATTTAAAATAAATCGATTTTTCAAAGCAAACAATGTATAGTATACAAGAAGTACAAATTACTCTGCCGTTAAGGAGAGAAAATTATAATTCTGCAGGCATTGTCTGCAATGAGAAGTCTGCCTTAGAAGGTTCGAGTTTGTAGATAAGATAACAGATAAGGCAACCGGATGACAACGCGGACAACACAAGTAGTCGAAAATATATTACAGAATTTTCTTGGAAATGTCCTGAGATACGTACGTGCGTAAATTTACGTATATACATATATACAGGATTGTAAGAACATAGGAAAGAAATTTTTATTTATTTATTTTTTTTGAGAGAGAAAATATAAAAAAGGGACATTAATTTGTTACATTAATAATTAAATTAAATTATAAAAGTAAACGTACACCCAGAGAAATGATATATTTATTTGAAACAAGTAAATATTTGTTTCAAATAAATATTTGATTTTAATAAAAAATTTATTTGTTCTAAATTACATTTTTTATTTAAACCAAATAAATGCAAATAAAATATTTCTCTAGGTGTAAATAATTCGTCATTTTTATCTAATGAGAAAAATTCAATTTTTAATACATCTGTATATATGAAGTTATATATAAATATGTGTGATTTCTTTTGTTTCTACAATGTAATTAACAAGAAATTTTATCTCTGATTTATAAGTCTATATTCAAAAAGTGATAAAAATAATCAACTCTGATATTTTTAATCCATATATAATCAATATCTTACGGTATATGGAATCTCCAAAATAAGATCACTTTCCCAAAGGTGTCGTGATTTATTTTTTAAATTTATACAATTTGTATATTTATAATTCATAATTATAAAAATAATTGTTATTAACAGGGTGGCTGCAAGTC